TTTCCATTAACATGGGCTTTTAGATCATAATGCCGCGTGTCGTTTGCGGGGATTATGCTATAGTTGAGTTGAGTGAAGAGTGGAAAAATGTATTTTGCCATGTCGTGATGTATATCTGTCAGCTTGCCATAAATGAATCTAAAATGGATCATGGTCAGATGACAGAATGTCTAAACGAAGTGTGTGTGTGTGTGTGTGTGTGTGTTTACATAAAATTTATTTTAATTTTTAAATGCAATACATTCATTTTAATGCATTTCTTTAATCAAATATACAGTAAAAACAGTATTATTGCAAATTTGTATTACAATTTCAAATACCTGTTGTCCATTTTATTACAACATTTAAGAAATTAATGAAATGATGAATGGAAAGTTCAAAAGAACAGCATTTATTTGAAATATATTTTATAACGTCTTGACTGTCACTTCTGAAAAAAAAAATGTAACGCTGTTATAATTTCAGATTTAATGATGTTATCGAATATCAATTCTGCTATAATTTAGGTTATATATAATGTTTCAGGAATCATCTTCTTTTCCCTACAATGCTCAGTGACCAAGTGCCACTCATACAGTATAGGCCCATTCAATTCAGTTCAGTTCAAATGTATTTGCATAGTGCTTTTCAATACATATAGTTTCATACAAATGTCATATATTATTTGAATGACATATAAAATCACAACAACTCATGCTCTGTGTTTGCCCTTTCATGGCCATTTAGATAATAATATGACTGTGAGCTTTAGAACGCTTAAGTGTTTTCCAGCAGGACGCAGGTTAATGCTAATTGCAAGGTCACTTCGAGTTGTGTGTAATTTAGAGTCGATTCCTGTTAGCACTGCTCTAAAACAACAGGAGGCCAAGAGATTTTAAAGCGACAGTTACCTAAAAATGAAAATGCTGTCTTCTTCTCAACCTAAAAACCTCTATGCATATCTTTCGTCTGTGAGACACACTTTTTCACCATACTAACCTAAAACAAGCAATCCGTTTAGCTCATGTGAGGATGGTCTCGTCTAAATGCTGCCAATGGGGCAAAGATGGTCTATTTACGGCCTCAGACAGGTGGCTACATCTGAGCAAATCTCGTCTGGAGGCCACGGCACTGCCACTCTGAAAAAGATGGATATGTGGCTCATGCAGAAGAGAAAGTCTTGAGAGAATTTTACTCTGCTTTAGTTCACGTGATTTGGCAACACATGAAGAGAGAATTGAGCCCATGAATAATTATAATGAAAACTATAACTATACAGTTATAAAAAATCAATCTAATTCCTGAGAATAGGGAAGTACACATCACAACTATAACAATAACAACTGAATGGTACACTTTCAGGATGATTTTTTACAGCTTATGAACAATAAAAACACTGACAACCAATCAGAATCCTCTCGACTTTACACTTTTAAACAGGACGTTATTGTTTGGTGTGGATACTAATATAGTTATTGTTATAGTTGTCTTTATAGGCATCATTGTTGGTGTGAACAGGCCATATTGGCAAATGTTTATAGGGCAAATTTAATAGAAAGCGTTTAAAATATAAAGAAAATTTAGATTTGTCATCAGGGCAACCCTGATGAATGACAGCAGTATGCAGTTTAGCTCATTTATTTATTAAAACACCATTTGCAATTTAGTTTCTTCAGTAATCCGACATTTTTTTTAAGTAAAATAGGTTACTCATATATATATACGTTTTATTCTGTTTTATAATATATGTATATTTTAAAACATAATAAAATGTATGTATTTAT